CTTTATCCTGCAGAAGTAATCAGCACGGTTCGACATGTCCAGTGAAACCCATGCAGGTGTGTATAATTGTGTAGGTGTGTATAATTATGCAGATGTGGTTAATTGTGTGTTTCATAGACGGCCATTCAGCCACCTTCTTTTCCTCTCTGGCGCAGTGACAAACGTTTTCATGCCTTACATGCTCACAAACAAGGAATAATTTTCCTTTCTGTATACATTTACATCTGTTTGTTGTTTTTTTTTTATTTTGTCACAGAAATAAAGGTGCCTCCGACATAAACCTTCATAGCCGTAATCCGTCAGCCAGGTAAAGTTATTAAGTGACATAAAGGGAGCTGTAAAAAAAAAAAAAACTAAGCAAATCTCAAACTCTCTCCAGCTAATGTAACTCAACCATACAGGATGCGAAGAGCCATTACAAGTCGTAACGCATAGCAGTTTGGTAACAATCGTCTTTCGCAAGGTTATTCCTCTTTATAGAAGGCTGTGTGTCTCTATTATATCCAGCCATATTTCCTGCGCATCAGAATACATTATGTCTGGAGTGGATGTTCCCAGAAAATGTCTTTCTCAGCAGCCAGCAATAAAATATACAGTAATGTTTGAACTACGCAAAGGCGTTTAGAAGAATTCTAGAATCTAATTTTTTATCTAATGGGAAGAAATACATTTTGCATGGTGGAAAAATAAATGCAGGGATGTACTATAGAAAAATAAACTGTTCGGGAGTAAAAAATACATTACCATCGATTATTAAAGGATTGCTAAGCATAACAAACAAAATGCCTCAAACTAGGAGATTTTACAGCATAGATCCATGTAAAAGGGGACTCCAATAAGGTGAAAACCACAGATCATGTAAGCACTATTTACTGTAATGCATGGTGAAATACACGGCTACTATGTGCCCGCACAGTAATCCAAGAAAGTGACTGGTACCCTAACACGTCTTGCTAATGGATAACAACTAGGGATCAATTCAGTTTCAGACTAAACCCGGTCTGAACCTGAGCTCCGAACATGGAAGGAAGGTCCTTCCACCACCATCCAATCATCGGAGGAATTCCCCGCCCACAGCTGCATGGAAGCAAAGGGTTGGAATGCTGTGATGTCATTGATCTTATATGGCCAAATGGCTACATTTGGTCCATGATATTGACCAAATATGGCCATGTGGCCATATGAGGCCAATAATTTGGCCATGTGGCCATATGAGGTCTATGTCGTGGACAAAATATAGCCATGTGGCCATATAAGGTCAATAATATTAACAAAAGCAGCTGTGGGGTGGAGATTGCCCCAGCCTGCAGCTGATTAAGTGGGTGGCCCCATGTCACTTTCAGGTTTTGGAATGTTTTTGCAGTGAAGCGTACGTCTTGGATGGAGGCAAGCTTTGGTGTGTTGTATTGCCTCCACATTCTGGAGATGCATATGGATTCCATATAAATTAATTGGCACTCCAACACACTAATAAGTTCATGGTGAGGACTAAAATTGCACATTTTTTTTCAGGACCTGTATGGACTTGGAGGACGTGCATCCATTTACATCCACCTGATCATAGACATTGAATTTCCAATCAGATCTGATCAAAACAGATGTGTGAAAGGGGCCTAAAGCTGGCTATACATTGATTGAATTTCACCCCTTTCCTGCTGAATTGGCTAAAATTTAATTTGTGGGTGGCCCTGCTGGCTTGACTTCCCAATCAACTTTTGTTGAAGGAGCCGGGTGAAAAAATGTGGGCTAAGCAGATGTAGTCACTGTTCGGGTTTTCTGAGGGCCGCAGGCACTGGCTGCAAGAATAAAATAGCCGGTAGGGGAGATTACTCCAGCTACATTGTTTAGCAATTAACAGACGCCTCTTGTTCAGCCCACAGCTGGAAATCATAGGGGCTGTTAGATAGAGCCGAGAAGTACAGCAAATTCCTACACTCCTCAGGTCCCTCTAGTGGCAGCAATGCACTGCAAAAGTCATTTGCACAGCTATATGCTGTATTCAAGTCTTATAAATCAACCCCTCAATGTGTATGGGCACCTTTAAGATGCAGACTGAGAGGGAACAATACTTATTTACTTTAATACTTTAAAAAAAAAAATATTGGCAAAGGGCCATTGACTATATATTGGACTTTACATGCATTCGTTGTTTACAATTACAATTCAGTAAAAACATAACTTTAGCTGCTACATAATTTCTATTATTTAGAATCTGGCAGCTTGACAACAAATTTCTGCCATATACACAGGAGAATGTTATCTTTACTTTGCATATTACAGTTATGTGGTTGCTATGTAATGTCATATTTACTCATTGAAGCAATAATGTTTTTTCCTGTCCTCTAAAATATTAGGGAAATCCCGAATTAGCAGGCTGGATCCTAATGAATTAACCAAATCCAAATCGTATTGAAGGCCTTTAGGATTCCGGGAATCCCAAAACAAATCCTTGCTTCTGTAGCATCCTTTGGGATGGGGGAAAATTCTATGTATTACAATCTAATGAAATACTTCATAATCACTTCTAGCTTTGAATATTTTGTAGAATATTTGGACATTGAACATACTGTATATATTTTGTACTACTTCCACAAGGAATTTGTGTGAAGCAATACAGTACAGACATGTGCACTGCCAGAAAATTTGTTTAGTTTCGTTTTAAATTCGGATTTGTGTTATTTCGTTTTTCGAGATTCGGGTGTGAAAGTGAATTCGGATTCGGACGAAATTCGGTAGCGGTAGTTCGACCGTTCATTTCGTTTTCTGTTCTTATTCGTTTCTTATTCTTTTCTTATTCGTTTCGTTCGTTCATTTGCAGCAAAGTGACATTTGAGGGGGAAAAAATATTTTTCTCCTTCTCTAATGTCACTTTGCTCCAACGAACGAAACGAATAAGAAACGAATAAGAACAGAAAACGAAACGAACGTTCAAACTACCGCTACCGAATTTCGGAAATGGAAATTCGGATTCGTTTGCAGTCGTTATGTCTGGAATTCGGATACATCCGAATGTCCGAATTTTCCGAAAATTCGTCCTAATTTCGATTCGGAACGAAACGAATCGCACATGTCTAATACAGTATGTTATTAATGACACACAAGTGCAGTGTTGCTAAGTCCTAAGGAAAATGTGGATTACTTTGATAGTTATAGTACTGTTGCCAGGCCCCCTCCCTGCTGCATTGGAATCTAGCATCCCCATGTCTATACACTGTGTATAGATGTGACAATTTGCGGGACCTTAGACAACTGCAGAGGAGGGGGAGAGACATTGGAAGGCCTGACCTCAGAAGAAGCTGGCTTGGACCTTCGGGTGAGTCTAACTTTTTTTTAACCTACACAAAAACAAGCACTTGCCCCACTGCAAGAGTTAATACAAACATTTCCTGGAGCTCATCTTTAATGATATTAGCACAAGGATCCAGCCCCTTTGTTTAAGTGCAGCTGTGAGGTGGGGATTGCATCAGCTTGCAGCTGATTGGTCTGGTGGCCCCATGTTGCTTCCGGGTTCTTTTTCTTTCTATTTTTTTGGTGCAGCACACATCATGCATTGATGCATGCATCAGTGTGTTGTATAGCAGCCGCACTCTGGAGATGAATACGGTTCCCATATAAAATGATTGGCACCCTAACACACTTCATAGTGGATACTAAACTTGCTAATTACTTAACATGACCAACAAAACAGCGCTAGTGGTGTTGTCCTTTACTCTTCAATCCCATAAAAATTTCTGCTTGCAAGTTGCGAGGGAAGGCAGCCAATCTAATCAGACGGGAAATCCTCAAGCCCATATAAAAACAAACACAAGGGACGGCCCCCTCACCTTGTGAAGCACATACAATTAATTATAAACGCAGATTAAAAATACTTGCAATCATGAATGCATAAATGAACGAATTAGAGGATGAGCAGCAATTTCAAAACCTGCTGATCATAGCCATAGTCTGGCTACATCCAATGTCAGGTCCGGTATGCTGAGTTGATCGACACTGATGTATAGACTTTCCCACATGCAAGATTTGAATTGCTGATCATCCTGTAATACACTCATTTATGCATTCATGATTATAAGTATTTTTAACCTGAGTTTATGATGAATGAATTGTACGTGCGTGCACTTAATATTATCTTTGCACTGTTGCCTGGCTTATCCCTTTCAGTTTGAGGAGCAATTGGGGACATTTATTGATACAGTTGCTCCCTATTTTCAAATACAGTACCGTATGAGCATGTGCAGGTTATGTGCAGATTATATTCCACCTTTTGTGGTATAATGTCGTTCACGCCACTTCCGGTTTTGTTGAATGTTTGTGATCAGTCTGTGAATGTCTGCCAGTTTTCCCACATTTGTCACAAGTGTTGGGAACCAGATTGCAGTAGAATTACCACGCTGAAATGTTGCATTAATAAAAAGTGATGTGGACCACTTTTAAAATGGACGCAATTACCTGGCTGAAAGTGACTTTTTAAAGTGGACCTTCACACATTTTGACAACTTTCTCTCACTTGCCTCCTCCTCCCTTCCTCTTATACAAATGCAGGATTTGTAAACAGTAAATACCTTAGCTCAGCCCTGCCAAGCTGCTAGACTGGTCCCTAGGCCCTGGTGGTCTAAGGGTCATCATCATGTCTTAGGCTGGCCATGCACCTATCAATTTTTTTCGTTCAACCCTCTGGCTGAACGAAAAAAATTCCTCCGTCAACACAAACAGCGTGTCAATTGAGGAATCGCCGCTGTTTCCATTGTATTCTGAAAGGTTCCACCGGCACCTTTCAGAATACCCGATCAGAGTAGGCAGGTAATCGGCTGCTGGCTTTGATCATACAAAGATTTTCCAGCCGGCTCCTTCGACCAGCTAATTGAGGAATGCAGGCTAAAAGGGAGCCGACAGTCTCACACACTGTGCGAATTTCGGCCAGTACAATAAAAACCGTCCGAAATTCGGCCAGTGTATGGGCACCTTAACACACGTCTAATTGACTTGTATTGGATGTGAGGATGCCAAAGGACATTCGACAGCCAGCGAAGGAGGGAAAGAGAGGTAAGTGCTGACTGCCATGAGACTGAGTGTAAGATGAGTATATTTACTTAATCTGAGCCCCTTGACAAAACGAGCACTTAAACCTTGCAGTGCAGGGGGAGCCCAGTACAAGTAAGTTTTTTTTTAATTCCCGAAGTTCTTATTTAAGATGAATATTGCAGCCAAAGGTTTTTTTTTGTTATTTTATCTTTTATTTTATCTTTCAATGGCCTATTTATATTTATCTTGTTAGAGTTCTGCTTTAAAATTGGGAAGACATTCTACTCAACTACGGTAGTTATAAGGTTTACGTCTGTTCTTATTTATCAGTTTATAGTGTTCTTTCCCCTGAATTATATGCATGCAAATCTAAAAATATGCAGAATCAGTTGTCAATTTTCAAGTGACAACAGCTCCTCTAAAATTAGATTAGAATTCTTCTTTAATATAGGCCCAGCGGTACACGGTACTCCCTGATGACACCATGTTTGCTTTTTCTTTGCGGTAACCAAACAAGGCCCGAACCGCTATTTGATATACAATACATAGCATGGCACATTGTCACAGAGTCTTTGTTCAAACAGCAGAGTTCATTACAAACAGCCGGTCAATACTCAAGCAAACATTCCCAGCTGCGCATGAAACGATTACACTCAGATCCACAGCATGGCGAGTAATGAAGCAGTTATGGCCTCGTCCTATTCACCAGTTCGCTACTGAGTTTGTTAGAATAGATCAAGGGCTCAGTCATTACCACACTGATGACCTGCAGATTGTGTCTTTTCTGCATAGAAAAGGAAAGGTCTGGAGTTGGGCAGCTGGAAATGGCGAGTTAGAGGTGAGCAGGGCAGCTTATAATATTACTTCATAGCCAGAGGGATGAGAAAAACAACTGCTGCCTCATTTTTAAAGATGAACTGTAATCACTGATACATAATTCATTGTATTTTTAAAATGCCAGATGAGTAAGTACCTGAATTTGACTTGGCATCCGCCTGTTGTAGTCTATTGTACAGCAGAGCTCAGAGAGGGTGAGGGAGAAGCAGCACAATAAACCAGGTGTGAGATGTGCTGCAGTGCAATGTGTCTCGGTCTGCGACCGGGGCACACAAAATGACAAAAAGTAGCGTGCAAAAAATGGTGCCTGGGATGAAAACACGGGAAGTAGGTGTCTATGCATTAACGGAGCCGCACTAGAGGCGCAGGTTCTAAGAAGGTCCAGGTGTTCGACAGAGCCTCTAATGGTGAGGATGATTGGCTGCTGGACACCTTCCACACCTCTAGCACGCCCACACAGACATAAAGGTTAGTTGCAGCACTGAGGTGCTGGATGCAACAGCAGGCAGGGTTGAAGCCTATACACAGACACACAAGTAGGCACAGGTGCAAGGACTCACCTGAAGAAGCTGATGGTCAATCCAATGCAGGGCATACAGGATCTCACTGTGAGGAAGAGGGAATCCAGACATACAGGGAACAAGGTAGGGGGTAGCAACCGCAGGGATGCAAAGGCAAGAGATAAACAGGAAGTCCGACTGGGTGTAAAGACACGTTGCAACGGCATGGAACAATTGAGCTGGACTTGTAATGGAGAGGTTCAGAGTGGATTGGCAGCAAGCCAAGCAGCTCAGACAGGAGGTAAAACCCGGCGCCGGATCATCACACAGGGAAGTGTAACACAATGGGCATGTGGGTGTAAAACAGCTCTGTTTTCAAAGTATTGCAACCATGATCATTGAATGCAGGGCTTAGGATCCTGGAGACTGTTCCTCCAGTCCGTATGGAGGTGTGGACCTTCTATTTTGGTGCACATGCACAACCAATTTCCTTCTGTTGAATATGTCTCTCTCCAAGGATTTTATAGCTCTAACCCATCAATCCCTAGGTTTCCTCTGTGATGGCTTAAAACGCACTGAACAAGAAAAGGAGCTTTCGCTCCTCCAACTTCAATAGTCACATGGGGTTCTAGAAGGTAACCTGAGCATCAAGAGAGTGAGTGACTATGCAAATGGGTGGATGATGATCTTAGCAAGAGCTGACAAGACCTCGGCCTGGACTGGATCGTGAGTATGTGTAATCAACAGCACGTGTGTGAGTGATGTCACAGGTTAACAAGTATGTGATATCTCCTGAGGAGCAGTGATGAGGTAGGGCTTGGTGCAATACCCAGTTCGCATATGTTTGCCCAAGCAAATTTAAAATTCTGACCATTACCCACTCCTCCTGACCCAATCAGTTGCAAATAATGTGCATTCCCCACCCTACAGCTATACATCACAAGGAGGGGGGAATGCCTCCCAGCAACTGCCACCACTCATTGGGGCAGGAGGAGGAGGTAGGGGTCAGCGTTTTGAGCGGGCTTGGGTGAACTCAGGGGAACTGGATTCACACCAAGCCCAGCCTCTTTTCTACTGAGGAGAAAGGCTTAGTAGGGTTTGGGTGCTAGCAACAGATCTAGGTATAAACGAGTATTATTGGATGGGGGAAATTTGTATTGATCAATGTAATTCTGCTTTAAAGTACACTGTCAGTCCATTTGAACTAAATGGGCTGCTTTAATGTACAACATGGGCCCAAATGGTTGTTTAAAGTAAAAAAAAAAAAAAAATAAGGCCATGCTGTGGAACTTTATTTTTTCCAAGAGCACTCTGAGCATGTACAGTGTTTAGTGCACCTTATCTGCTAATAAAGCACAAAAATAGCATTGCCCCGATGTCCAACATATGCATTGAGCATGATTGTACACTTTAACAGATATGTTAACAGATTTGCCGGTTATGTGAGCATTAACACATGCCAATTATCTTCTGACTTTAACACATGCTAATTATCTTCATCTTGATTTTCCCTTCTCTTGTGGATTTCCTTTTAGTAAATTAGGCCCAATGGCTACGGGTACATTCATTCCTGCTAATAGGTGTTAAATATGTGCAGTGAAACTTCTTTCGCAGTAATTTTAGCATACTTCCCAACTTTCTGAGATGAGAAAGAGGGACACCTTCCAGCACAATATATTTAGGCAATGGACACACGTCTGTTCCAGCCCCCAGTTTAATGTGGACCATATTGGATTTATAGCCCAAAAATGATTGATTAAGCCCAAAATTGTCTTTTTTCACCATTACTTTTCCTTTAGGCCCCTTTCAGATGGGCGGTATGATCAGGTACGCCTGTCAGTTTTTCAGGTGGATGTGATTGGATGCCTAATGTTAGTCTATGGACATATTATGTAACTGGGTGTGCAGCGCTCAGGGTCACCAGTGAGTGAATTAAATCAGTGTTAGCATATTTAACCTAATGAGTGGTAATGATCATAAATATCAGTAATAGCTAGTGAACAAAGGTCTCAAATCGTGCACGGATACATAAAATAAATGGTGGATCAGATATATACAATTTCAAATATGAAATATGAAAATATATACAAAAAATGTATAAAAATCTAAAACTTATCAAAGTGATATATAGCAAAGTGAGTCCAAAAGTGTATAAAAGTGGGTACAAAATATATATAATATTATAAATAATTGGATGTGAGTCCAAAAATAGATAATTTGTGAATCCAAAAACAATTTAAATTTTCAGTGTCAGCAACACGTTAATGATGATAGAAATCCCACACCGCAGTGTCCACGTCTAAGTCCCCTCTGGGATGCGCAGTCAGGTCCTGCGATCCCCCTGAAGACGTCTTTGTATGACGAAACGCATCGGGGTGGGGCTACACTTCTCGGTATCACACGTAGTTACATACTATTTGACCCTAGTGTCCCTAGTACAGCAGCTCTAATATATAGTTATACATTATTTATTTATTTATTCATTTTCTATATATTTTTATTTGTTTAATTAAAGTATCCACATCAATCTATAAGCGCGGATTATATATATTTCACCTTAGTCTATGGACAGCCAGATCTAAATGTACTGTATGTGTTTATATCTGATTACCACCTGACTCTGTCTAGGTCTAGAAAAACCAAATGGAACAGAGTTCCGTTATGGAAGAGCTGATCGTGATGGATCGGGGGTAATCTGATGTCAGTGGACACATGTCCACTTACATCTGACTCTCCATAGACCTAACATTGGTCCAATGAGTTCAGTTTTTTCCTCCATCGCAAGGTGGAAGAAGAAAGTGGACAGACATGGATGTCAATAATGTCCCTATGGACATCTTAGTGACCTCCGTTCCAAAAAGCTCCAAACCCTTGTAAAAGGGACCTTATACTGGTCTGAACAATGTAACATTTGTATTGCTTGCTGGAAGAAATGTATTATGGGATATGTAGTCTTGAGAAACGGAGATTGCATCAGATCAAGCAGCAGGGAAAGGAGCGCAAAGCACATTGGGATACAGGAAGTTTGTTGGAAGTGCTGGGCAGACTGGAGGCAGAACTCACTACATGAAAGGGATTTTTTTCAAGTAAGCTTTGATTGCATTATCATAAACAACTCTAGTATGTATTCCTATTACAATGCTGATGTTATAACAGGATAGTATATGCTGGGACTGTACTATTCCTTCATGAGACAGGATGAAGGTTTTAGTGCAGAATAACACTTTTGGTAGTTAAAAAGAATAATTTTTTTAATGATATCTGTACATCAAGCCAAAAAGAGGGACAACTGAGGAGGACAAAGGAATTTGCTGCCAAATGAGGGACAGTTGGGAGGTGTGATGACCGGCCTGTTGGTGTCCTTTGACATTCACAACGGTTTCATAAAGCTTGTACATAATGATCATCTCCAGCCAGAATGATGTTTTAACCTGGTTAAGCTTCATCGGATATCCCATTTGGATAGCAAGGTTTAATTTCAATAACTCAAAACATTATAAAGCTTGCAATCCCTCCTGTGACTAAGACTGCTTCCTGTAACACCATGAAGCAGAAAGAACAGAACAGTCATTGTAATAACAAATCCCTATGTAATTTAGCATAAAAGCCAATACAGAGCAACAAATCAAAAGATGTTCTCTGCCGGGCTGACAGTGACATATTACTGCATTATTACCTTCCGCC